AAGCATCTTGGAATACTACACAAAAGGATGAAGTCCTGCCTTAACAAATGATAAAACTTGGCAAAGTAACAGTTATTGAAAATAGTGTGCTGGCCATTCACTATATCCAAGAAATGCAGTCAACCTGAGACGTAAATAAAGAAGTTGAGATCTTGCACCCGGTACCCATAACTGCTGTGAGTTCAAGAGTACAATAGCGTCGGGCGTTGGTAGCACATGCCTTTAATCCCAGCACTCGGGAGGCAGAGGCAGGCGGATCTCTGTGATTTCGAGGCCAGCCTGGTCTACAGAGCTAGTTCCAGGACAGCCTCCAAAGCCACAGAGAAACCCTGTCTCGAAAAACCAAAAAAAAAAAAAAAAAAAAAAAGAGTACAATAGCCTTGTCATGCCTGGAAATCAACATTCCGCACAGCTCTCTTGCCTTTCTTCCTGAATGGTCCCTGAGCCTGGGGATAGTAGTGCTATAGGTAGATGCCTCACTTACCACTCAGCCAAAGAAAATATTTTTAAGAAAAAAAAAGCTGGGCGTTGGTGGTGCACATCTTTAATCCCAGCACTCGGGAGGCAGAGGCAGGTGGATCTCTGTGAATTCAAGGCCAACCTGGTCTACAAGAGCTAGTTCCAGGACAGCCTCCAGAACTATACAGAGAAACCCTGTCTCGAAAGACCAAAAAAAAAAAGAAAAAGAAAAAGAAAGAAAAGAAAGGGTATGAATATGTGTGAGCAAGTGTATGTGCCTCCCATGGTACATGCCATGGTACACCGTACATCTGGAGGTCAGAAGATAACTTACAGAAGTTGGTTCTCTTATTCCACCATATGAGTTCTAGGGATTTACCTACTGAACCATTTTTCCAGGCCCTACATTGTTTTTGTTGTTTGTTTGCTTGTTTTGAGACACTGTTTCTGAGTAGCCCAGGATGATCTTGAATTTAACAGTCCTCCTGACTCTCAGCTTCTTAAGTGCTGGAGTCTTTTCGGGGGGAGGGGCGGGGCAGAGTTTATCTGTGGCTTTGGAGGCTGCCCTGGAAATAGCTCTTGTAGACCAGGCTGGTCTCGAACTCACAGAGACTCACCTGCCTCTGCCTCCCGAGTGCTGGGACTAAAGGTGTGCGCCACCACCGCCCGGCAAATTTGTGTTGTTTTAAGTAGCTAAGTTTGTAGTTGTTTTATGACAGAAGTAGAAGATAGATATGTGTAATTTCCCTTTCCTTCCAATTAATATCTAATTTGCAGGGCAATGCTCTGAAATCATGTGACTTGGGGTTCTTAACACCTAAAGATTGTCTATTGATTATCTTTGCCTGAATCAGTTGTGACTTTAGTGAGAGAAAACTAGTGGTTTCCTTTCTTCTTCTTTCTCACCCAAGTTACTTATTTATTTCATTTCCAGCTTTATTTAGGTATAATTCAAAAATACAATATACATATATATGGTAAACTATTATCATAATGAAGTTAATTACTATGATGATATTAAAAAGCTACAGCTGGGCATTATGGTGTACTTCTTTAATGCCAGTGCTCCAGAGGAGAGGCAGGTGTATCTCTATGAGTTCAAAGCCAGCCTGGTCTATGCAATGAGTTTCAGGACAGCCAGGGCTTTATGGTGAGACTCTGTCTCAAAAAAAAAAAAACAACAAATAAGAACAGTAAGTCCGCCGGGCGTTGGTGGCGCACGCCTTTAATCCCAGCACTCGGGAGGCAGAGGCAGGCGGATCTCTGTGAGTTCGAGGCCAGCCTGGTCTACAGAGCGAGTTCCAGGACAGCCTCCAAAGCCACAGAGAAACCCTGTCTCGAAAAACCAAAAAAAAAAAAAAAGAACAGTAAGTCCACAAAGCTATTAAGAAGTAAGAGATAGTTTATTTTGGAGCTAGATATAAGTGACTGTGGCCCAGGAACACAGATTTAAGTTTTACCCCAAATTCTTTGCTTCAAATTGGTAACAGGTTCTTGAATTTTTTTTATAGTAACAGAACAAAGAAAAACATAAATCAAGACAATTTTCAAATGCATTGGTGCATTCATCAGGCAGGGAGGTTACTGCAAAGTGGGGGAAATCTCTGCTACAGGTCTCTGATTGGATCTGATGGAAAACATTGTTAGCTTTAGGGTTGATGGAAGGCAGGGGTCTGTGTATGTATTCCTAAAGGATTTACCTAAAAGCCACAGAATATGAGGCCATACACAAGGATGGGCAATGAATTGCTATTTAAGGGAGCTAAGACAGCCCAAGACAATTTGGCTTTGATCCTGTATTCAACTTCTTCACAATCATTGAAGTACTCATCCATCAGCCTTTGGACAATGTCCAATACAGGTGTGACATCTTTCTAGGGACTTTAATTCACAAACATATCCATCACACACCACACCTTGGCAGGGTGTGTATATGTGCGTACTCATGTGTATGTATGTGTGTGTGAGTGTGTGTTTGTATGTGATTGTACTTTGTTTTTTCCTTTCATCTGTTATGAGAAAGTGTAGATACACAGCAAATGTCAAGTATATAGGAGAATATGCAGTGTTACTGTTTCAAGTATGATACAGTACCCACATCTGTCCTTACCGTGTCATGCTTTAAGCCTCCAAAGGTGTTCATCCCATAGAGCAGAACCTTTGTGGCTCCCGATCAATACTGAAAGGTTTGCAACCATCCTGGTGGGAAAGAGATATTCTAAGGAGACACCTGTGCTCTTCCCTTTGGCTATCAGACTAGTGAGACAATGGATTCCAAGGAATGGAATTTCCCCAGGAGTCTCAAACTCCAGAGGGTAGTCTTTCTTTCTGGAAGAAATGTCACACAACTTGCCAGACCACCTTGTCGAAGAAACTGAAGCTGAGACCACAGCTTGGCCAGGACTGCTTAAATCTCTCAACCTCTATTTAAGCCTAAACTTCATGAGAATGTTGTGAAGATGGGGGAGGGGTGGTCCCAGGACTTAACTATTCCTGTTCCCAGTGTGGCACATTGAAGAAATCTCTTTTCTCTGTTTTTCACTATTAATTGTCTCTTTAACTTTTGTTAAAGAGCTTGTTGTGGCTGCCAGGACCCTCCAGTTTCTTTTGGTAATAAAAGTGTTCCTAAATTGATGGATGCACGCTCTGTGGCTATAGTTAAATCCTACTGAATTGCCTGCTTTAAAAGAGTGAATTTTACCAAGGCTGGGCATGGTGGAACAGGAAGGAGGATGATGAGTTCAAAACTATCCTGAGCTATATAGAGAATCCAAGGCCAGCCTGAGCTACACAAGATCCTAGCCCAATATAGATAGATAGATAAAAGGATTTTAATGGGCACAATGGTGCATGCTTCTAATCTTAATACCTGGAAGATGGAGGCAGGATGATCAAGATTTATATATTATCCAGTTTGGGTTACATGAGAATCTGTCTCAGAAAAGGTGAACTTTTTGATGTAGCTACTCTCTCTGTAGTTTCATCGTTTGTAAAAAGTTATACACATTTGTTTGATACTCAGCCCAATTTCTGGGACCCAGTTCCTAAGGTCCTTGAAATCTCCAAAATGATAAATGTCTTTTTGTATTGCTAATGATGACTGCTGGCTGGGGTTTTCAGAATAGCTTCCAGATGGGGGTTGGTTGCCAGGGGAACCAAGTTGAGATTTGAAGGGTTTCAAGAAATATTATTTGTTTATTGTCTAGTACATTTAAGATCCTTGATAACCCTGGAAAGGGACATTTGTTACTACCAAGTCTTAGTTTCTAGTGCTTCCCAATAAACATTGTACTTGCTAGAAGGCCTTTACTCTCCCCTGGCTTCTTGCATCTTTGTAGGTCTACAGCTCAGCCATCCCACATTTCTTAAGGTTAAGCTTAAAGCCCTGGCAATTCTTCTTCCTCAGTGTCTTATGAAGCCTTCCTTAGTCATTCCAGTCTGTATTACTTGTCTGAACATTTATCAGTTTTCAATTAGTCTCATAATCTAATCAATCACTAAGTTTGAGCAGTCAAATTGTTGTTTATATACACTAATATATTACTTTGAATCTGCATCACATTTTCACTGAATATTTCCCTGTGCCAGAGCTGGAAGACTTCACTTCATAATGCCACTTAAGCAGCCCAAGTACCAATAATCCAAGAGCTCCAGGTGTGCTTGAAGCGTCTTGTGGCCAAAGTCATGCAAAAGCTGTAAAGTTCCCTCAGAAACATAATTCTGTAAATCATGGAAAAAATCAGTTTCCCACAATGGTTTCTTCAAGGTCTAAGTACTTCTAGAAAGCAAATATTCATTCTGATGTTTACCCTAGATGCAGTGGAAAAAAACTATTTAATTCTAATGTTTGCCTTAGATACAGTGACTGCTAGGTTCCCACAACACTTGTTATACTAACTATTCAATAACGCCTTTTCTTTGTGGTGGGTAAGGTGGGTGGTTGACAGAAGCCTCACACATGCTAGCTAGGCAAGTGCCTATCACTGAGCCATCTCTGTAGCCTGCTTTATTGAATGTCTAAGAGGTGCTTTACCTAACAGAAAATACCAGTCCCTTCAAAAAAGAATTCCTATCTGGGATTGGTGGTGCAGGCTTGTAACCACAGTATTTTAGGAGGTTGAACCCTGCAGGAGTATAATTAGTTTAAGGCTAGCCTGAGCTACATAGTAAATTTCAGGTAACCTTGGACTACAGAGGAGACTCTCAAGAAGGATTTGGATGCTAGATGAATGATGACACATTCCTAGTAAATCATTCATTAAAGGAAACAATGTATTTTGGGTTATCCTTCACTGCTAAGATAACTTAGTGGAAGAAAACTACACCTTCACAACCCTTATAACCAAGGCATTAAGAGTTCTTTCTAGCTGGTGACACACGCCTTTAATCCCAGCACTCCAGAGGCAGAGGCAGACAGAGCTCCGAGTTCAAGGCCAGCCTGATCTACAGATCGAGTGCCAGGATAGACTTCAAAGCTACACAGACAAACACTGTCTCGAAAAACCTTTTTTAAAAAAGAGTTCTATCTAAGAACTGATAGAGCTGCATGAATCACCTTAAGATTCTTCAGCCTTCTACTGTCTCCTAGTAACTCGCAGCCTAAAAGGCCACACCCCTTGCTTGATCGTCACACTTCCTCTTTCTCATGTATTTGAATGAGGTAGAGTGCCTATGGGAGGTAGACTTTAAAACAACAGACTAGGTTGTATCAGAAGGGTGTTCAACAATAATTACAAAGCTCCAAACTTCAGCTTAATAACCAGTAAAATGGAATTAAAAGGGTGGGGCCGTAGCATCTCTTTGGTATAGTCCCAGCATTGATCCCCATCACTACAAATTTTATGAAGTTTCTCTCCCTCATTATTTAAATGTTCACAATTTCCTATTTATTATTGATAGGTAGGTAGAGAGATGCTACAAATACATTGCGGCCTAGGACTCTACATAGGATTAATCATTTGTGTACAGGTGGTTTGAAACTGCCTTCTGTTCTCCTGCTGTCTGCTTTAGAAGCAGTTGAGGGTGAGAGCTGTGGGGCAGCAGATGGCTGTTCATAGTCTTGCACGGTCCTTCCGAAGGATTTCATGCAGAGAGAGAACACAGAATGAGATGGAGACTTGGTGCCATTTGCCCCGCTATCCTTCGCACAAACCCAATTCTCTTCATTCACTCCCTTCCCCAGTGCTGCCTATAATCACTGATTCTGACTAATCCTGCACCAAAGTAGAAAATTCCCATGGGATCTATGGTCAGGAAGCTTCTTATTGTCCTCTGAACATCAGAGAGGCAAATGGGAAAAGGCTATCCTCCCCCTTTCTCGTTCCCCGCCATGCCCTGCTTGCTGTTTTTGGCTGGGAAGCAGTCTCAGGCTTGCAAAGCCAAGTGACTCTCTCTCTCCGTCTCCCCCCGCCCGTGTGTGTGTGTGTGTGTGTATGCACAAGCCCGAGCGTGGGTATGTATATTGGTTGTGTGTCATTAGTAGGGAGAGGGTTTGGGGATGGGATCCCATGACGTTACTGGCTCCTCCTCCCAATGAAAATAAGGGGTTCTTGGCGCGCAACGACCCTAAGCGGCAGCATTGAAGCCCGAGCAGTTGAAGTCTGCAGACCCAACCCAACTCTGAAGTCAGCCTCACTGAACCGGATCTGAGAATCTTTGCTCTCTGGGCTTGACACAGCTCTCTGGTAAGCCTTTGGGGCCGACACGTGTGTCAAAGTGGGGAGGGGGGGGTCCTCGTATACCTAGGTTTCTTAGACAATCATGGCTTGCAGTTGCATCAGCGGGCTGTGACCTGTTGCTAGTAAGACCCTGCCCAGGAGCCAGGGCTTCAGTGCAGCCCTAGACAGTTTCTAGATGGAACCATAAAATCTAGATGCTGAATCTAGGGCCACTGGGTGGGACCCTTACTCTGAGAAGAGGGGAGTATGCGCGAGCAATTTAGGTCTGGCTTTGTACACCCCCCCCCCCCCACCCCCGCTCCCGGCACGGGCACGCATCTCCCAATTTCAGATAGCGAAGCCCCGCCTCACCACTGATGCTCACAGATTAGCCTAGCAGGGCGGGAGGGAGGGGTGGGGGGATTTGAAGGTTCAGGTGGAGCTCTGTGGGCTTGGCGAGGAGGGATGAGATGGAGGCAGTGCCCACTTTTAATCTGCAGCGAGGTCAGTTTCTTCTTCCAGGCAGTGGGGAGCCATGTCTCTTTGAAGCCCTCCGGGCGCGCGCTGAAAGGGATGTGGGTATTGGGTTGAGAAGGGTCTCTTTCAGAGTTACCCTGAGTTGAGTTCCGCTTGATTCACCCGGAGCTACAGGCCAGGAAACAGAAACGTTAGTTTTCAGGGCTGCTGGGCTGGGTTCTAGGGTAAATACCATAGGTTCTTGGCCAGAAAAAGAAGAAACATAATGTCCAAACACTTACTTGCACTTGTGCTTGTTACAAGGGACTTTCACTCGCCTCTTCTGAAATGAGTCCTTTGACCAACCTCAGAGATACTGTAATCCCTACTTGCATTATTATTGTAATTCCTATTTGCATATGAAGAATAGGATGTTAGGGGTAAAGTGGCTTGCTCTCCCCCCAACCCATCCTCCTTTGTCCCTGTAGCTCTTTGGAGTGGAGTGGGTTTTGTAATTCACTTTCAGAGTTTGGAGATAATGAGACCCATTGAAGGGCTTTTGTCTTGTATTTCATCAGAACCCAGCATCCTCGTCAATTCCAGCCAGAATGCGGTGGCAGGCACTTAGAAGATTTGGTCAAAAGCTAGTGCGGAGACGTGTGTTGGAGCCAGGCATGGGTGAGACCCGCCTTGCCAGATGCCTAAACACCCTCGACTTAGTGGCCCTGGGTGTGGGCAGCACACTGGGTGCAGGTGTGTATGTCCTGGCTGGTGAGGTGGCCAAAGATAAAGCAGGACCATCCATTGTGATCTGCTTTTTGGTGGCTGCTCTGTCTTCCGTGTTGGCTGGACTGTGCTATGCTGAGTTTGGTGCCCGGGTCCCTGGCTCTGGTTCTGCATATCTCTACAGTTATGTCACCGTAGGTGAACTCTGGGCCTTCACTACCGGCTGGAACCTTATCCTCTCCTACGTTATTGGTGAGATAGGTGCTTGGGGCGGGATGGGGGTGGCGGTGGATGACTACACAGGTAGCAAAGGGATTAGAGATTCAGAAATTGTATTGGAATGGCGAAGGCAAAATTTTCATTACTTTTCCTAGTATCTTAATACTTCTAGATGTTTATATTTTTATTTGTAGGGGCCTCTAGATGTTTATATTTTATTTGTAGGGGTGTGTGGAGGGATTGGAGGTACAGAACAATTGTATACTTCTGCCTGGTGTTCATTCGTTAAGATACTGCTTTGGGTTTTTAAAATTAATAGCAGGAGCTGGGTCAAGTACTCATGAGGCTGAGGTAGGATCATGAGTTTGAGGCCAGGCTAAGCCTGAGCTACATAGAGACCTGTCACCCATCCATCCCCCCAAAAAGTAAGATGGGTAATGATAGGAATCTGTGAGGCTGATGTGTGGGAAGGAGGGAACTAGATCTCATCATTTTCCTGAGTATTTGAATTACAATAAAAAATACTACTGCTATACCAGGTACAGCCAGTGTGGCCCGGGCTTGGAGTTCTGCTTTTGACAATCTGATTGGGAACCACATCTCTGAGACTCTGAAGGGGACCATCTCGCTGCATGTGCCCCATGTGCTCGCAGAATATCCAGATTTCTTTGCTTTGGTCCTTGTGTTGCTGCTCACTGGTGAGGCAAGGGGCGGGGTTGAATGGTGGGAGGGGTCGGACCTGGGAAGGGCTTGAGGGAGGAAAGGAAGTTGGGAAGGAAGGAGTCTGCCACACAGAGGCAGGAAAAGGAAAAGCAAGCTTGGAGGAAGGATTTAGTTTCTCAGGATCCTGAACAATTTCTCCACAGGATTGTTGGCCCTGGGGGCGAGTGAATCTGCCCTGGTTACCAAAGTGTTCACAGGGGCGAACCTCTTGGTTCTCGGGTTTGTCATCATCTCTGGCTTCATTATGGGAGATCTGAAAAACTGGAAGCTCACAAAAGAGGACTATTGCTTGACCATGAGTGGATCCAATGACACTTGTAGGTTAGACAACCATAAAACTGGGTTCATAATGGGGGAGAAGGGAGGTCCAGAATGGGTGTGGGAGACAACGAGCAGCTGGGCATTAGAGAAAAGTTACAGGCTTAGCTGGACATACTCTTATCTTTTCTATTCCTTCTTGCACTCTAGCTTCGAGTCTATGGGCTCTGGAGGTTTCATGCCTTTTGGTTTGGAAGGGATTCTACGTGGAGCTGCTACCTGTTTCTATGCCTTCGTTGGTTTTGACTGTATTGCTACCACCGGTCAGTCACACCCTCCCGGCTCACCTTGAGTGCAGTGTGTGATCATACAGACTGGGGATGGTGGGGAAGCAAGCCTGATTCAGAACATTATGCCATGCGTTTTCTTACAGGGGAAGAGGCTCAGAATCCCCAACGCTCCATCCCTATGGGTATTGTGATCTCATTGTCCGTCTGCTTTCTGGCATATTTTGGTGTGTCTTCGGCACTTACCCTCATGATGCCTTATTATATGCTTCGCCCGGAGAGCCCTCTGCCTGAGGCATTTTCCTACGTTGGCTGGGGTCCCGCCAGCTACCTTGTGGCTGTTGGCTCCCTCTGTGCTCTTTCCACTAGGTCAGTGTTTCCTCAGTGGCTGTAATTTCAGCTATGTCCACTTTGTACCAGAGAATACTCCTTAGGAGGACTGGGAAGGGGAGGTGGGGATACTGTGAGCACACAGGCTTGGAACTGATACCCTGGTGAAGTCATTGTCACGTGGACTCACTTGGACATTGTCTTTTTCAGTCTTTTGGGCTCTATGTTTCCTATGCCTCGGGTGATCTATGCGATGGCAGAAGATGGCCTTCTGTTCCGTGTGCTTGCTAAGGTTCACAATGGTACACACACACCCATTGTGGCCACTGTGGTGTCTGGCATTATTGCAGGTAACAAAACAAACACCCCTTTTTGTTATTTCACCAACTCCTTTAGCTTCCTTCACTCACTTGCTTTCTGCCTGCCAATTATAGCATTCATGGCATTCCTCTTCGAACTCGCTGATCTTGTGGACCTCATGTCAATTGGGACACTGCTTGCTTACTCCCTGGTGTCCATTTGTGTTCTCATTCTCAGGTAAGACTTGTGTTTGCAGTTCTGGGTGATGCATAAGTTGCTCATTTCTTCTCTGCCTTCTGTCATCCTGACTCTTCTTGAGTAATTTGGGTACTCTCTCTCTCTCTCTCTCTCTCTCTCTCTCTCTCTCTCTCTCTCTCTCTCTCTCTGTGTTTGTGTGTGTGTGTGTGTGTGTGTGTGTGTGTGTCTGTCTGTCTGTCTGGTGCCCTTGGAGGCCAGAAGAGGATATTGAATTCCCTGGAGTTAGTTATAGGTAATCATGAACTGCTCAATATGGGTGCTAGGAACTGAGCTTAGGTCCTGCAAGCGAAATAAAATCTCATAACAGCCAGGCTAACCCTCTAGCCTCTTGGTAGATATTTCACAGGCTGAGCTGTTTCCCCAGCACAAGCTTCTACCTTTAATGGTGGTAAAGAAGCTGCTGAGAGAAAAGATGGAGAACCAAATATATATATATTTTCGAGACAGGGTTTCTCTGAGGCTGTCCTGGAACTAGCTCTGTAGACCAGGCTGGCCTCGAACTCAAAGAGACCCGCCTGCCTCTGGCTCCTGAGTGCTGGGACTAAAGGCATGTGCCACCACTGCCTGGCGACCATTGAGATTTTTAAAATTGTTTCTTACTCTTATCACAGATATCAGCCTGACCAGGAAATGAAGAATGGTGAAGAGGAAGTGGAATTGCAGGAGGAGAAGACACTTGAAGCAGAGAAGCTGACTGCCCAGGCTCTGTTTTGTCCAGTCAGCTCCATCCCCACCCTCCTTTCTGGTCGAGTTGTCTATGTTTGCTCCTCACTGCTTGGTGAGCAGTGGATGTTTTCTTTTGTTTAAGGTTTATTTATTTTTTAATTTATATTATGAGTGCTATGCATGTACACCTGCATGCCAGAAGAGAGCATCAGATCTTATTACAGATGGTTTTGAGCCATCATGTGGTTGCTGGGAATTGAACTCAGGACCTCTGGAAGAGCAGCCAGGGCTCTTAACCACTGAGCCATCTCTCCAGCCCCAGGCATGGCTTTTTTCTTTGGGGAGGTTTCGAGAGATCAGCATGGCAGGGTGGGCATTGTGTGGTGGCATTTGGGGAGAGAGGTCTAGCAAACGGGTAACCCTTCTGGGGATGGGGATGCCTTAACGTCTTTGCATATTGGTCACAAGAGTTGGTTTTGATGCCTCTCACCTTGATTTTCGAAGCTGTACTACTGACTGTTCTTTGCCTGGTGCTGACACAGTGGACAGCTCCACTTAGTTCTGGAGACCCAGTGTGGATCACAGTGGTTGTGCTAATCCTGGGATTCATTCTTGGGATTGCTGGAGTTATCTGGAAACAGCCACAGAACAACACTCCCCTTCACTTTAAGGTAAATGATGTCTCTTTCCCCCCACCAATTCATCTTGGGACAATTAGGACTTGTAGCTTATGATCTTAATTGGACACAGAGGCCAGATTCTTTTTTTTGGGGGGGGGTTTTCAAGACAGGGGTTCTCTGTGGCTTTGGAGGCTGTCCTGGAACTAGTTCTTGTTGACCAGGCTGGCCTCGAACTCACAGAGATCTGCCTGCCTCTGCCTCCCGAGTGCTGGGATTAAAGGCGTGCACCACCAACGCCCGGCTCAGAGGCCAGATTCTTATGCTCTCTAGTTCCTTCCTTTCTAGTTCCATTTTCTTAAGTTATGGATTTGGGGAGTCTAATATGGCATGAGTAGGGGTCAACTTGGCCTGCTTTGTCCCCAGTGAGGTAAGAATCATCATGTTGTATGTGAAGATTTTCTTGTTTTGCAGGTTCCTGTTCTGCCTCTACTCCCCCTGGTGAGCATCTTTGTGAATATATACCTGATGATGCAAATGACAGCTGGCACTTGGGCCCGATTTGGGATCTGGATGCTGATTGGTATGTGTCTGCTTTCGAAGAGTAAGCCTCTTAGGTGTCCTATACTGGCTCCTTTCTCTCTTGGAGACCTAGTAAGCCCTTTCGTGTTATACTTCCCTGTCTTATGGCTGTCTTTCCCCACTAGGATTTGCTATCTACTTTGGCTATGGGATCCAGCACAGTGTGGAAGAAGCTAAGAATCATCAAACCCTACCCAAATCAAGGACCCGAACTGTAGACCTTGATCTCACTGCTTCCTGTGTTCACACTATTTGACCTAATCATACCTGAGTGCTGTCTAGTCCCCCTACACAATAATGGAGAACACTCTTACCCCATGGAGAGCTGGGCCTCTCATGTGGTATTAGTGGGGGATACTAAATAGACTCTATTTATTGTGGAACAAATGGATGTGTCTTTACTGTTTCTCCTTTTTTATTTACTTGTCTACTTTGGAATCATCTCTGTAATTGTTTCCTGGCTTTGAAAAAATACGTTATTAAAAGAAAACGGGGTAAAAACTTTCCAGTGCTTTGCTTATTAGAGATTACGTAAAGTTTGGCTTTCAGGCTGAAGAGACTCAGAGAAGTGTCCTGTGTCTTTCTCTAGCAGCCACAAACTTCTGTTGTCCTTGGGTATGCTCGTACCCAAGTAGGATTTGGATATGTAGTAAAAGCAGCCTAATCTAAAGAGGTTATTTCCATTTGTGGTGCTGCACATTAGGCCCTGGATAAGCTCTCAGACTGCAGTGTTCCTTGGGATTGGGGTGGAGTCTTGTGTCAACACTGCTTAGGTTACACATTGAGACCAGTGTCTTCAACTTCAGTTGGATCAGTCTCCAGTCACTACCTGGGTAACACATTTTAACTGCTGGGAGGAGGTGTGGGCACTAGAGGGTTTTTTTAAGGACCATGTACTGCTTTTCATAGAACAGTCGGAGATCAGAGGTTAAAACTCCAGTCAGATTAAAAACTGTTCATCTATCCAACAAATATGTAAAATTTTAGACCCTGTGCTGGGGCCTGGTGAGAGAGTAAAACTGCTCTCAAGGAACTCACAGTCTAGTGAGGGAATCAAGCGGGGAAACACGAATATAATGCAATGATTTGAGACCACTGGCTGAGTGCTAAGGAAGTACTCACATTTGACCTGAGTGAGAAGGAGACTGAAGGGAGGGTACAATTGCCAGTGAGCAGTACAGGAAACAATCAAATTATGATAAAACAGATTATTTGGCCTGAGTGCAGTTGTAGTTTAGCTGGAAGTAACATGCACATGGTTATGTATTCATGGGCTTGTATACCTCAGGATATTGGGAACTTCCCTTGTGGATGGGGTGCATGTGACGTACTAGCAGGGTGGTGGATTTTTAGTGTAGTTGGGAAGCCAGGACAGGGAGGTAACGCTACCATTTATGGAGTATTTATGCCAGTTCTGCATAAATCTCATTTTGTTATTAAGCCTATGAAGTAGATCTAATTGTGTTTTACAGATGAAAGAACAGGATTTTGGCAAGTGTGCCCTAGTCACACAAGTTCAAAAGACCAAGGCCAGAAGGAAACTCAGTCACAGATCTGGTGACTTATGTGAACATGGTTTAGTTTTACATAGGGAAAACTAGTCAACAACTAAACTAGTGGTCTAGATTTAAGTCATCAACAGATTTAGATTTAAGTCATCAACACAGGTCATATGTGATAGATGCTTTGTCAAACTAGAGATTGTTTTAGGATAAAACAGAAAAATGCAGCAGAAGTTGCATACTTTCATATATATAGCTGTTACAAGCCTGTAGAAGGGTAAATACGAATACTAGATATGTCATTTCAAGAAAAATGACAAATACATGAAAATATCTTTAGCCTCACTAAAAAGAAAAAGTGGATGGGCAGCGGTGGCACACACCTTTAATCCTAGCACTTGTGAGACACAGGCAGGTGGATCTCTGTGAGTTCGAGGCCAGCCTCGTCAGTCCCAGGACAGCCAGGACTGCTACACAGAAATCCATTCTCAAAAAGAAAGAAAAGTGGCTACCAACTTGAGAGTGTGAGGGGGTACTGTGGCTAAGGGGGAGGGGGAGAGTGATATAATGCTTTCCAATTAAAAACATTAAATTTGTGGCTGGACTGATGGTTTAGTGTTTGGGAGCACAGGCTGCTCTTCCAGAGGACCTAAGTTCAATTCCCAGCACCCACATGGTGTCCAGTTCTGGATGCCCTCTTCTGTCACATAGTGCCCAGAAATACAAACAGGCAAAACACTCAAAAGTAAAATCCTTCGTATTAAAGTTGATGGGCCTCATGTGGTTTAGGCAAGTGGTCTATCAACTGAACCACACCTCTCAGCTAAATATGCTTATTTGTTTGTTTGGATTGTTTTTCAAGACAAGGTTTCTCTGTGTAACAGCTCTTGCTGTTCTGGAACTCAAGCTGTAGACCAGGCTAACCTGGAACTCACAGAGATCCACCTGCCTCTGCTTCCTGTGTGCTGGGATTGTGTGCCACCATCTCCCAGCAAATATGCTAATTTTCAAAGGAAAATACTTTTGAAAGACCTTGGCATCAAAGCGCCGGGCACTGAACTGAACCCTCTGCCCAAGAACCGGGGCCAGACCACTGGCTGCAAATGCAAGAGGTGATTTATTGGAGTACACAGGCGCCTACGGATGCTACTGCAACTCGGGTGCAGAGCATACCAGGCTTGCAGGGAGTACAATATTTATAGAGTTTTAATGGTTACATAAGTAACAGGCATTTCATTGGCTCATCTTGGGGGCAGGGGTAGTTCCCACGGACTAAGTTTCCTGGTATTACTTCATGAAAGGCCCCGGCACGCTTCAGCAATTATTATCCTGGTCCCATGACTACTATGGTGATCATAGTCACAACTGGGGGCAGGGGTAGTTGTCAAGGACTAGGTGTCCTGGTATTGCCACATAAAAGACCCTGGCACGCTTCAGCAATTATTATCCGGGTCCCATGACTGCTCTGGTGACCACAGATCCTGTTTGACATCCTGCCAGCTGGGCAAGGCACCTGGTCTGGGTTTCTTTCATTAGGCAACGGCCTGGCCTTGCTTTTCTTTTCCTAGGGAGTCCTGGGTAAGGGTCTTTCACTTTGACCATTACTGTTATCTAAAATAAAAAAGGGGGTACCTAAAATACCATATGTTGGAAACATTTATGTAGTTAACAGTGAATAATCTGTCTGGTACTAACTTTGAAGACAGTGTGGAAAATTGATTTAGGCATGCTGTAATCTTGATTTACTTGAGAAGACAGAGAAAATTGACCCAAATAAACAAAATGACAGAAAGTGTGCATTGATTACCATGAAAATTGATGAGAGGTCTCACATGGTTTGGGGATGTGGTTGTCGAAGTCAAGGCTTTGACTTTTTGAGGTTTAAAAGTGATAGCTACAATGAGCCAAATGTCACCTCGGCCTTTAGAGGGTGGGGGCAGGAAGGCCCTGAGCTCTAGGTCATTTTTGGCTACTGAGTTTGAGGTCAACCTGGGCAACATGAAACATTCTTTAAATAAAAAAGGTAAAGTGTGTCAGTTCAGAAATTGGGAGGGAAATTTGTACATAAAAGCAACAAGATGGGAAAACTTAAAATTTGGTGTGCTCACAGCATAGGATTTTTGAAGGAGTAAAGTAAAAAACTAAGAAAGAATAGGCTGGACGGTGGTGGCGCATGCCTTTAATCCCAGCACTCAGGGGCCAGAGGCAGGCGGATCTCTGTGAGTTCGAGGCCGGGCTGGACCAACAGCCTCCAAAACAATACAGAGAAACCCTGTCTTGTAAAACCAAATAAAAAAGAATAGATTCCCAAGGCTCTTCCAAGACCCGCAACTGAGTGGCAGGACGTATGTGGATGGGAGGGGGCCGATAGAGTTGGTTAATCATACCCAAACTTACTTAGATAGGAAGAATAAGTCCTACTGTTCTATAGCACTTTAGGTTAACTATATTTTTCAACAACTCAAAGAACTAGTAGAGAGGAATTCAAAGGCTGCTAATACGTAGAAATGACATGCTATTACACAGTAGGATGACTAAAGGTAATGATAATGTACTATGTATTTCAAAAAGCTACAAGAAAGGATTTTGAATGTTTTCACCATTATCTCGTTATGGTGGCCAAATATTGAACAAAAACACAACTTAATGAAGAGTTTTTTTCCCTCTCACAGTTCACAGAGATGTAGCTCATTGTGGGGAGAATGCGTAGTGAGAGAAACATTTATTTGGTCTGTGGGGTCAGCCAGGAAGCTAGTACTCTGCTGGATTTCTCTACTTGCCCTTTTTATTCAGTCTGAGAACACATCCCAGGTGATGGTGCGGTCCACATTCAGGGTGGATTTTTCATCCTCAGTTACATCTCTCTGGAAACTCCCTCAAAGACACATGCAGAGATGTGTTTCCCGGGCTATTCTATACCCAGTGACAATGAAGGTTAAATCATTACAATAGGTATTTGATTTTATTTCTTCAATTAATTCTTTGTAAGTTACCTTATAAACTAATGGATTTCATCATGGCATCTTCATACATATGTGGCATATTTTGTTGTCATTCATTCCCCTTTTCTACTGTCCTCTTCATGACCTCTGTCTTCTCTAGTTCCCTTTCTTGCCCCACTTAGTCCCCATCTTCTACATTTCTGTCATGTGGATTCCATTACTGGCTATTTCCCACTTCTCTCAAGCTCTCTTCTTCCCTTCTCATAATCACCTTTCTATTTTTGTGACCTACAAACACCCATACATAAATACACATATGCATGAATGAATTTAGGTTCAATATATGAGAGAAAGCATGCAATGTTTGAGTTTGCCTTTTTTTCTTTTCATGATTTCTAGTTGCATCCATTTTTTGCAAATGTCATTATTTCATTTTTCTTTTTACCCTTCCTTCCTTCCTTCCTTCCTCCCTTCCTTCCTTCCTTTCAGATTTATCTGGGTGTGCTGGTGTATGCCTTTAATTCCAGTGCTCAGGAAGCAGAGACAGGTGAATCTGTGTGAATTAGAGGTTATCCTGGTCTATATAGCCAGTTCCAGACTAGCCAGAGTTACAAAGTAAGACCCTGACTCAAGAAAGAAAAGATTTATTTTTGTTTATTCTTTGACAATTTAATACATGTATACAATATATTTTGAAAATATCCATACCCAATGGCCCCCAACTAGGAATCTAAGCAATAGTAAGAGGCTACCTTAAATGCCCGTCTCCTATAATGAGAATGATGACTACCTTAAATGCCATCCTAGAGCCTTCATCCAGTGGTTGATAGAAGCAGAAGCAGAGATCCACAGCTAAACACTGAACTGTGAACTTCTGGACTCCAGTTGTAGAGCAGGGAGAAGTGATGAGCAAAGGGGTCAAGACCAGGCTGGAGAAATCCACAGAACAGCTGAGATGAGCAAGTGGGAGTTCATGGACCCCAAACTGATAGCTGGGAAATCAGCATAGGACTGAACCAGGGCCCTATGTTAGGAGGCCTGGGCAGTCTATGGGGCTTCT